ATGACTGGAGAGCATGTAAGTGGTCCAAGGATCGGGTTGAGAAGAAGGTGAGAGATATTATTCTCTCGGGTTGGGAAGAAGGTGAGAGATATTATTCTTTCTAAAGCCTTTTAGCGAGAGGTGAAGGGCGCCCTTCAGGTATTATTTTCCTCTTGCCAAAGTCCTTCGCATGGTTGATAGTGACAAGACGTCTATGAGTTACATATATGAGGCTATGGAGAAATGCAAAAGAGAGATAACCTAAAATTTTAATGATGATGAGAACCACTATAAGCCTATTTGGGAGATTATTGATGAGAAGTGGGATAGGTAGCTACATCGGTCATTGCATGCAGCTGATTATTATTTGAACTCAACTTTTTTTTTACGTTGACAAGGATTATATACAAATGACACAATTATGACTAGATTTAATAAGTGTGTAGATATGCTAGTCCCTAATATCCAAGATATTATATGCTTTAATGAGCTGATAAATTACAAGTGCTCATGAAAGTCTTTTGGCTGACCAATGGCGATGAGGCAAAGGACCAAAATAATTCCGGGCCTTAATAATATTCTTAAGTTCATCAAGTTTCATTTTTGTAATTCTATTATTTATTTATGATTTTATTCTGTCTTTGCAGCCAATTGGTGGAGCCAACATGAGTTAGTTCTCCAAATTTACAAAAGTTGGCCATTCGGATCTTAAACCTAACAACTTTCTCGTTCGGTTCTGAGTGCAATTGGAGTACTTTTGAAAGGGTAAGGTCGTAAGGGTAATTTATATAATTGTATTAATAATACATGAATAATAGATTTTAATTAGTTTCATTTGATTTTATTAGATTCATAGAAAGAAAATTGACATGCTTGAATCAAAGAGGCTCAATGACCGAGTTTATATCAAGTATAATCGATTTTGGAACGATAATTTGCTAAGAGATATAAGAGAGACCCCATTAGATCAAAAAATATGGACAATGCTATGGAGTGGTTAGTTGATGATGATGAGGTCAAGGGGCATGAAGGATTGACATGGGATATAGTCATAGACTTCAGGAACATCAGTCGACCCTCCTAGGGCCACTAGATCTTCTGCACAGAGGACGAGGGTGGAGGAAGAAGTGGCAAATTTATAAGAGGCAGAAGAGGACAACCAATATATCGAGGAGGGTGACGGTTCCGATAAATATGATGCAAATATAGCTAACCCTACTTTTTTATATGATGAATGATGAATAATAATTAAACTTTGAACATTGATTGAAGGTTCTTTTGAGTCTTCAAGTATTACTTTCATTTTTGTTTTCTTCCTCTTGGTTGGGTGTTGTGAATAGTGGATTTGTAGTTCCACTGGTTTGGTACTTGGTAACTTTGTTTTGGTAATTTGGTTGGTAAATTTTAAGTTTTAATAGGATATGGAGTTATGGACCGACTTACAGTTATGCTTATGGAGTGTGTGCTAATGTGTAGTAAACTTTGAATTTTGATATGCCCTAAATACCTAATTCTTATATTTTATATAATATAGATATTATTAGAAACTATAAAATCTTTTTTGGATTCAACTAGGCCGCCCAGGTTTTGGGCGCTTGCCTAGGCGCTGGGCGGCTTGGAACCCCCAGGCCACCTAGGACCCATCTAGCGCTTTTTCAAACACTGGTTTTGAGACAACGTACTATCATACTTTGTTTTTTGCTGAAGGCCGACTACTCTGTGAGGTATCCGGATATGAAGAAGGGCGAGAAGAAAGTCAATTATATAAACAGGGTCGAATTCTATTATCAAATGGTGACAATACGCTTTTCTTTCACCCTTTTCTCTGATATTGTTTGATTGGTACCTCTCTCCCTTTCTGTTGGCTTTTTCCTCCTTTTCTCTCCTTCATTGTAGGAAACCAATTAGCATTCCCTGAAAAAATGGCCGCTAAAACGCAGAAGCTTACCCTCGGCGGCAGCTCTTCAAGAGCCGATGCATTCACTAGATATTACCATTTTATTGCAGCAACAGTGACGAAGAATTCGGGTGACTTAAAAAAAATGGTCACCCATGTGAGTAAAGCAATAGGAATGCTGCAACGCGGTTCTACTCAGTTGACCAGCCTGAGGTTCTCAATGCATTCTACAAGAAAATGACTAATGTGGGGCAATCTCTATCGATAGGTCAATCTTTTTGCTCTGGAATCAAATGCGAAGGATAAACAAAAGACCGCCATAGCAACCATATTGTTTGAAGACTTACAAAATGAGATGATCGCTATTTGAGATGAAGTCCTTGGGCTGGTGGATACGATGTTGCTGCCTTTCACTTGGCTAGTGGATACGATGTTGCTGCCTTTCACTTTGACTCAACGTATTGTCCTACTTTGTTTTCTGTTGAAGGCCGACTACTCTGCGAGGTATCCGAATATGAAGAAGGGCGAAGAGAAAATCGATTATATAAACATGCCGAATTCTATTATCAAATGGCGATGGTACGTCTTTCTCTCACCCTTTTCTATGATATTGTTTGGTTGGTACCATTCTCCATTTCTGTTGGCCTTTTCCCCCTTCCTTCATTATAGGAAACCAGTTAGCATTCCTTTAAAAAATGGTCGTAAAAGGCACAAGCTTACCCTCGGTGGCGGCTCTTCAAGAGCCAACGCATTCACTAGAGATGACCATGCAACAACACTGACGAAGGTGACTTAAACAAAATGGTCACCCATGTAGTAAAGTAGGATACTCAGTTGATATCAGAGGAAGAGGTTTCATCTATGAGGCTGTCAATGCACTCTACAAGAAAATGGGCGAGAAAATAATCGATCTTTTGCTCTGGAATCAAATACGGGGGATAAACAAAAGACCGCCATAGCAACCATATTGTTTGAAGACTTACAAAATGAGATGGCCGCTATGTGTGAGGAAGTCGCTGCCTTTCACTCAACCATATTGTTTGAAGACTTACAAAATGAGATGGCCACTATGTATGATGAAGTCGCTGCGTTTTGCTTTGACACAAGTGCTATGTATGATGAAGTCGCTGCCTTTCGCTTTGACACAAGTACTACTATAGTTTGTTTTTTGGTGAAGGTCGACTACTCTACAAGGTATCTGAATATGAAGAAGGGCGAGGAGAAAGTCGATTATACAAATGGGGGCTGAATTGTATTATCAAATGGGGGCTGAATTGTATTATCAAATGGCGATGGTACGCCTTTCTCTCACCTTTTACTTTGATATTGTTTGGTTGGTCAGTCAAATACTGATTTTGCTCGAATTTTTACCAAATCTAGTTCTTACATTAGTCCGGATTGATCACGACACCAGTCGGCAATTTTACGGGTTAGATCACTAATTTGGTCTAGATAACTGTGTATGTGTCCCATCATAGGACAATTGGGACACGTGCTGACTACAATACTTGCATGGTTTGCTATACAAAGCATAGGACTTGGGAATAGGTTGAGCCAGTGATTTAAAAAACGCCAGACCGGCATGGAATCATCCAATCAACCCAAGAATCAGTCACCTCACTGAATTCTCCGTATATATAGGACAATGGCCAAGTCTAGAAGGAAAACGGCGTTTTAGTACAGTAAAACGGCGATTTTCTAAAGTATATTCGCCTATTTCATGTGTTTTTTCTCTGGTTCATGCTTTTTTTCGTTAGTTCATTATTTTTTTTGCACAGTAACATGATGATCCGGATCGGTTTTTGGGGTGCCTAATCCGGATCACCCTTCCATTTTTTAAATCGTTGGGTCCAGCCCCGAGCACATGGGAAAAAACCATCACCCTGGTAATTTACCATAGCAGGTTTATTAAAGGCTACTTTTTCATCAGTTTTGACACAAAAAAAAAAAACCAATCGATTCTTCGCCCATTTTGGTCAGACGGTAATCAAAATTTCACGTTTTTTCTGATCTACAAAAAACTTTTTGGATCAAACCCATTTTTGGGCGAGAATGATAGATTGAAAACTCACCATTTTAGCACATAAGCTATCCGCTGTTTCTTTGATCTCTCGATTTTCACAAATGAAAATATATAAAAATTTTGTCCAGACTTTCACACTGGAGCCCTCGCAACAGATATGTAACACAATTTATACAACGAAAGGGCATGTTTGAAGAGATCTAGGATCAAGAATTTTTTGCAGGGTTCCTCTCTAGAAGGCGTTATCTTGAATCTATTACAGGTGTTTCACCATTTAGGACAATATTTTTTTAATATTTTATTTGAAAAAAGCCCTCATAGTTCTCAAAAATAATATATTTCATTTCACTTGCTTTTTTATGTTGCATAGTCTCTTTCCCTACAAGAGGTAGTGTATGACTGAATACCATGTTCTTGTAGAGATCTTGCATTTTTATCATATTTTATTTTTCTAAAAGAACCCTTACATTTTTAACATAAAATTGTGTAAGTGGTTTATTGCTAGATTTTATTAAGGTTCTTTTTATAGATATTGTTATCTTTAATTTACAATAGGTATTGCATGATTTGAAATAATATTTCTTAGATTTTACAGATTTTTCGAACATTTTATGAAAAAAAAAAGTGTGCATTTTCAATAATATCATTAGAATAATTCATATGCTGGCCCAACTTTTTCACAAACCAACAAAAAATTATTTTTGAAGTTTTCTTTGTGACTATTCAAAAAAATTTCCTGGCCCCCTCAGAAGTTATGAATGAATTCTACATTACTTTACTAATTGCTCATAATTACCCAAGTCCATTAGACAACCATAATTATCCAACATTATTTAAATTTTATTTATCTTTAAAATTTTGATTTATCTAAAATTTAGAATGTAAAAACAGCAAGGGGAATCATCAAAGACAGCTTTATAATGATGGAGATTGTGTCTTTTCAATGTAATATAGTGATGGAGATTATTGACTGTACTAAAATTGGACTTCTTATATGAACAAGATCATCTTACCCACGGCAAGCTCCCTTGTTGAACCTAAGGGTAAAAGATTCCCTAATCACATTGTGAGAGAGAGAGAGCATTTAAATCAAACAACGGGAGCTCATAATGTTGGAGACTATTTACTGAAATTTTACATGAAATTCAAACATGCTTATAAACATGATCATTTTAGCTATAATGAATACAATGGAAAGGATTTTTATGAAGAGAAATACAATGGGAAAGATCTCAAAGACCGTTTAACCCATTTAAATTGAAGAAGACGAGCTGATGATATTTGAGATTATTCACTGAAATTATACATGAACTTTCAACAAGCTTATAGGCATCATCATCCTACCATCAGCACAACGGAAAAGATCTAAGAGACTGTTAAACCAACTGCCTCAAAGATTCCCTCACCACGTTTTCAGAGGGAGAGAGAGATCCCCATCCAACATGAGGAAATAACCTAACCAACCGATGACTTGGCTGCCACGTAAATGAGTGTTCTTCTTTGATACAACATTCTTTCCTTTTTGTATAGCTGAATGAACTCACCAAGATCGATATCTTTAGAGACAAGCCTCTGATTCAATGACTCGCTGTCATCCTCCACTTTCATAGCAGCCTCTGCATATGATGAACCAAATCCAATAAAAATACATCACTCATGTCTTGTTTGTTTTGAGGGTAGGTAATCTAGAACTATATAAATCAAAGGATCATAGCACACAAATCAAAAGAACAAGGGCTATATATACCCACAATACTTTATCATTGAATAACAAATAATCCAGTGAATCAGGCACATTTTGAAATTCATGAAGTTATTGTTTTGAATGCAAAACCACAGGCTGGTAACATTGATTGCACTAAGAAACATCAACAAAAACCAAAACCCCTACCCCTATCCATTAAATGCGAAGTTTATCCAATGAACCAGGCACGCTAGCTTTTATCCCAGCCAGGCCATAGTTTTCACTTCATAACCATACTCTACGCTATATTTTTAATGCGTTTATAAACATTCACCAGTGGACACCCATTTACTGTACAAAGACTGCAGCCAACAGGCCTGGTCTCATGACCAAAGCCTGGCTCATCTAAAGGCCAAAGAACCCAGGTCATTCTAAATTTCCCCAAGTAACTAAATATCATTAACCCACCAAAATAAAGCAAAGAAACTGAGGTAGTCAAACCAAACCAAGGATGAATCCCAACTCAATGCAAGGTTGTATTCGACAACTAATCACTCGTAAAGCTTTGAGCGTTGACCAAAAAGGCGAAAAACAAATTAACCTACCAAATTCACTTCTCAAGCAGGGCTAGAAGTTTGAAGATATGGTATGGTTGACGGCACTTGAGTGTGAGGAAAACACCAAACCAGACTTGGACATTCATACATAATACAACTGATCTTAAACCTAGAATTTTTACTTGACAAATTGGTTTTCTTTCATGAGTAAACTCTGTAGTGACTTAACTGCAATTATCCTATTTTAGCTCGCCAACTAATCACCATTGAATAAATTGGTTTTCTTTCATGAGTAAACTCTGTAGTGACTTAACTGCAATTATCCTATTTTAGCTCACCAACTAATCACCATCTTTCTTTTACAAATGTGTACCATCTTTTCAATAATGTAATAAATATGCTATGGTCTGATATGTGTTTTTTACCTTGTAGCTTGTTAAGAAGGGCCGTGAATGAATAAACTGATGTTATCTCTTTCTCCAATTGTTCTAACTCATCAAATCTCTCCTTGGCTCCTGCAAGTTCTGATCGGATGATGGTGCACTGTTGTCACTTGAAAGCCAAGACGTATTACTTGAATCAAGGATTAGTGGCAAGACAAGAATTAAGAGACATTGCAGCAAAGAATCTGTGAGGAGCCACAGATATCCATACTGAATTTTGAGCTAGCTTATTTGATCCAATTTTTTTGAATTTTCCAATTTGATGCAATATGCTTTGCAAATCAGCCTAATATGCCGAAAAAGATATTGGGGTTTTGGTTTTTTTTTTTTTTGAGAGAAAAGATATTGGGGTTTTGTTTCTTTAATAATTTAATCAAAAAATTCAAAGGAGTTTAAGAAAATAAGGAAAATAACATCCCATGTGCATTGAAAATGGACCTGATAAACAAGATCTGGGAAGTTCTGCTGGAAACAATACAACTAAAATCAGATGTGATAATTCATTACCTGATTTCTGAGCTCTGCAAATTGTGAATGCTTCTCTAGATTACTACCTGCAAAATGAATATTCACATCTTTGAATAAACAACTGGAAATGAAAAGAAAAAAGAATACAATTGATAAAGAGTTTAACAACAAAAGGAGAAACTCACTTGCAAGATTAACATGACCTTTGATAAGCTCTTCACGTAGCTGAAAAAAAAGAGGGAGATAAACCATCAATAACTTGGTTTGGCTTCAGAAACAACAAAATTAACAGGAATTCTGATCAATTAACAGACCAGGTCAAGAGGCCTAACGGGCTCGAGAGAATGCAGAAATGCAACGTATGCTTTTTTATCAGTGAGAAGCTGGTGAATTTCATCCAAACTGCAAGGAGTCCACATCAAGCCCAAGATAAGTATGACAATAATGAAACTGGTACAGGGCTCAAGGATATAATGAAAATCATGCAACTTATTCAGGTTATAAGCATCCAATAGGGGGAGATATTGCATAGAGCATATATCAATAATGTGGGTATAAAATCTTAATCATAATCATGTCAAAGCAAAGTGGAAACAAATTTTTTAATACTGTTTGATGCAAACCACAAGCTCTGCTTCAACAGAGCACCATGAATTACTAAGATGGCATGCTTCATAAGTTCATGGGAATAAATATTTGCATCAAGATTTATTTTCTTTATATTTGTTTCCCAACCAGATGGTACACAAATCACAATATATGGTTAAAATATGAGGTGGAACAGAATCCCGTATACTGAAGCTGAATTGTGGAACAATCTAAGAAAGGTGGTTCCACAACCAAATCCATACTTGAAAGTCCATTAAAAAACAAATTTTATTACTGATATCTCCATCCACATGGCCTGCCATTGAACAAAAAACTCGACAAACTATATCTTCATAACAGTTTGAGATCAATCACAATACTTGAACTGCATTTCAATAAAATGCATGCACTTTTCATCTATGATGAAATGTTACAAGTGGAACTTAAAATTGACTTCCAATATCAGAAATCACCTCATTTATAGGATCATAAAATATTCTACATAGTATACTGGAAAAAGAAAACTAGCAAAACTCTGCTAAATTTCTTGTTTCATTTATTTTTCCTCAAAATGCCAATCTGTTCCTTGATGAAATATAATAGGTTGAGTTTTTTTTGTGGGTAAGTAATATAATGTGTTGAGTTCTTAACAAAAGACTACACAATAGCCCAGATTTTTCCCTTTGTTTAGTAGCTGGTGCTTCAATTCCTGAAAGCCTCTAGTCCTCTAGTCATTCAACACAAAAGCAATGCAAAAACCTAGGCAGCCATTTCAGATGTGTTTTTACTCCTTCCTTTACATTTTATTTTATTTTTATTTCTTTTATTTTCCATATTCTTAACTTTTAGGGTCATGTATAAGGCAGGGAAGCCAAATAGCGACAATCTGGCTACATAAGTACGAAAGTTTGTTGCATGTACAGTTTGCGCAAAGCTATGAAGTTATGCGGACCAATTCTTCTACATTGGTGACCAAAGCTATCATATATGGGGTCACCAATTATTTTATTTTATTTATTTCCATTACTAAGTCTTAGAAACCAATGTTAGGGCACGTTGGCAGAAGATTGTGCACTCAATATTTTAGAAAGTTGAGTCTTTAAAACTTTAGTGAGTTCTTTCTTTCCTTCTTTTGCAAGTGACGGTAGTTTTGGAATTTTTGTTTGATGTCCAAAGAGATTTTTTCAATCTTTTGTACAGGTCTAGTTATTAAAACTATAACGGAATTAGTTACCTAATTTTGGAAGAATGTGCAAGATTAGGATAGTCCCAAGCTAAGTCACTTAAGTCTCAAGTAAGTCCAACAAAAACGGGATTCAAACCATAGTTGTCGGGTGCGGGTTCCTGGGAGTAGAAGCGGGCTCGGGTCCGCAAAACCGTGGATTGTTAGAAGCTCCTTGTGGTTGGGATCGTCGTCCGTACAATCCTATATCAAAGGAGCGTGATCCTTGTCATAGGGAAGTGCGATTCCATTGGGAAGGAATCGCAATAGTATGCTTTAAGGGATCAAGAATGATGTGTGGGTTCACAATGCCATTGGGCAGAAAACTGAATCACTGCATATGAGTCAGTGCCAAATAGAGAAAAAATCATATGCACTGTGTAATACACTTGAGAACTGCAGATCGAACCTGCTGGGACCGCAGATCACAATATATGGATCCGCATTCCATCCAAGATTCCTAGCTGGAACCGCGGAATCAAGGTTCCGGAGCGGGTCTGTGACCTTTCCTACAAGGTTCCAGCAACTATGATTCAAACCTCTGTAATTACCCATGGTGAAATCACTTCAAGTCAGGTAATAAAATTTCAGCACCGATTATAGTAGCAGGCCACCTTTACAGGATAGAATGATTCTACAACTCTAGCCTAAATTTGGGAGAGTCTCCCCCCACAGGACAGAGTCCTATGCTTTTTTAGTGGAGAGATTCCCCAAAACCCTGACTTATGGACTAGAGGTTCTTCCTAAGTAAGCTTTGCCTTTCTAATTTCCCCTCTTATATGGCATGTCCCCATCTAAGATTCCCCACCCAAATTCGGAACTTTTCTCATAAACAATTAAAAAAAAAACCGATTCAATCCCTAGCATGTACCCTAGTTACATGCTTCCAAACATCAGCTAATACCTCATTACAACCCTGATCCATATGTCCAACGTCCATAACCCTCAAAATAAACTTTAAGCCCTAAATTTGCTGACCCCCGAATCCATTTCATCATGCTCCTATCTTGCTGGACCTGATAAAACCAAGAAAATTTAACCTCAATTAAACCCTTAACCTCAAACCCGGGACTCTCTTGTAACCTCATCAAACCATTCCCCATAGCTAGCTTAAGTCCTAACCCCCTTACACCTCTTATCATCACTACTTGCTCAATAAAGGAGACCTCAATACATCGAAAACCCTGCCATCCTAAACTTTATAAGAAACCTAAACACATTTTAAGCTCCTAAATAATAACTTAGTTAGAACTCGTACCTACCCCAAAAATATTATCCTAAGCCCACCTTGTGTGTTACACTTGTCTGGGAGCCAAGATCCCTTGGTCCTACATCACTACAAAGTACAGTATAAGCCTTACTTCTAGAAGGCAAAAGTTCCATCGTATGAAAGTTAGGCAGACTTCATTTTTCACCCATCTATCCACCCATGTAATTTATTGCAGCAGAGCACTTTAAATGCTTAAAATTGAGGCATTTCAAATTCAAAGACAGTAAAAAATAAGTTGAAGCCTCACATAACCTAAAGTTGGAGGCCCATGCCTAGTTGCTAGGTTTCAGAAAAGCTTACGAGAGGTCATGTGGCGGGTACAGAAGGAATATGGAGCTGAAGAGCAGTTACTATTCAACTCCTATATATCACCATGAAAAATGCTCATTTAAGGAGCAAAAATAACTACACAAGTGCAAGACTCATGCAACTAAGCCTAGGCATCATTCTGAAGGAATGAAATGCATGCTCATGAAGCCATGACAGTCCAAGATGATCCTGTCATTTGGTATGAATGAGTATAACCATTGCTGCAAAGTGGTGCATTTCCTAAAACATATGAGAAACAAAAAAGCTCTAGATAACATAGTTACAACACAAAGGTTTCTTAAAAATTAGAACCTCTAACAAGTAGACAAAAGGAAAACCTAATGTGAATCATCTAGTATGACCGGGAGAGTTCATGGTAAAAGCAAAGTTCTACTTATCATAACAAAATTAATATAAACTAGAGCCTAGAGAGCTCATGGTTAAGGGAAAAAATTCACACCAAATATTAATCTTCCAGTAATTCTGATACACTGCTGTTCCTGCCTCTGTCTCCCAGTACAACCCATAGAGCTTTCCTCCTATCTCCCTCCCCCTCTCTTTCCCATTTCACTTGTGCCGCAATCTTGTATAATATGCCTTTCAGTTTCTCTCTTTCATTTCATTGCATGTGAAAAGGACCATGGTTCATCAATAATGAGAAGATTATTCATTCAAATCCCACATCCGCTACCATCCTTGAGCCGGGGACAGAAACCTCTTTTGGTCTGACCTTTGTTTGGATCGAGAACACCCCATAAAGGACTGTTTCCCTAATCTCTTTCGCATTGCCAAAGACCCTAATGCTACCGTTGCCGACCTTTTCGAACTTCATGGTCATTTCGGCTCATGGAATCCCAGCTTCCGCATACATCTTTGGGAGAGCGAGGTCCACTCTTTCCTTGAACTTTCATCCATCCTTCATTCCTTTTTCCTCCCCAAGGTGAGGACAAAATCATTTGGATCCCTGCTCCCTCCAGAGACTTCTCAATCACCTCTTTCTACCACAAACTCAATGCACGGCATCCCCCACCTCCTCGTCCCAGTCTATTGTTGCAAAATCCTGGTTTTCTTTTATCCCCCCAAAAATCCAAGGCTTTAATTGGATTGCCCTATTGGAGAGAACCTTAATGGTCGACCAACTCCAAAGGAGAGGTATGACCATCCCCAACCGCCGCGCCATGCATGGCCGATGAGGAAACCAACTCACACCTCTTCGCCCACTACAGCATCGCTCACCAGCTGTGGGAAGACCTTGTTTTCCAGTTCAACTGGACTTGGGTGATCCCTAAGTCCGTAACCCATGTATAATGAGGAGACTATACAAGAGGATTATCGAAGAATTGATTTCTATCAACTAGAAGGAGAGGGGCTTGTTCAAGCTGGACAAATCTTCCACGATGGTGTTAGGACATGTAGGTGATGGAAGGATAGCTTAGACATCCGTTGTTATGGGATACAAATTTCAATTGATGTTATAAATCTGTTTTCACTTAATGGGTGTTCAAACGCACTGTCACATTAAATCTTTACCCAAAAGACAATCATCATGATGTCCAAATGACAAAATCTATAGACTGGTTGTCACTAAGGACTTCAAAAATGGCTTTCAAGCTTCGAAGGAATCATAATGAAGTATATAGATAGGAAGTGATCAGACTAAGGAAAACGACTAAGCCAAGTTAAAAAAAAAGTTAAACGCACTAAGCATTTTACTAGATTAAACATTTAATAGCATGCTGCTTTTAAATGTTTCAATGCTTAGAGAGCAAAACAACAAACTCTATTACTTTTAATCACTTTATATAAAAGGGAATAAAATCTGAACATACCGAGTTGTGTGTGCGAAAAGTTATCTATTTCATGAAATGCGTGTGAGCAATGCAAATTATAGTTGACCTAGCACTTAGTCGAGCCCAATCATTGTTTAAGAAAGCGGTCCACCCAGTGCCAAGGGCCCTTTGGGCGCCTAGGCACCAGTACTTGGGCGCCCACCATCCTGAGCCCTTTCTTTTGTAATAAAAGAGGCCCCCAAGGGTATTTTGGATCAGTTTGACCCACAAATTAAACTTAAAAGAGTATAGGGGGGACTTAAAAATAAAAAATCTAAACCCTACCAACACCCCAAATCGATTGATTATACAAATTTCTTCTAAACGCCAAACACCCCTAATTATGATTGAAGAAATCCTACAAACGCCCCTAATGACAATTGAAGAAAGGAAGATGTCCTATCTCTTCTTTTGTATTTCATCATGTCTTTTATATTGCATCCTCTTGTATTGGACATTTAGACTATTGGTTTTATACTTTTATTGGAGACGTGGAGTCCAGGTGACTGATTGACTATGCGTATGCCTATGCATGTGTAACTGTCTATCATGATCACGTGTCACTATGGAGTGGATTGAAGAGTTGGAGAATAATACACCATGAAGATGTCTATGTTTTTTCACTAAATTTTCAATGATTTGAAGTTTTGAACATGTTTCAACATAGTTTTGAACATGTTTCAACATGGAAAAAGTTAGTTGAATTACATATAAATGCAAAAAAATACAAAATAAACACAAATATCAGCAAATATGTGCATCCGGACAGCACATATATGCATATTTCTAAAAACGTTTCACATCAGGGCAAGGTTGGGCTCTGGGCGCCAGCCGTCCAGGGGCCATCTAGTGTTTTTTGAAACATTGCGAGCAATTAACAAATCAAAAAGCACAATTCAAACCACAGGAATCAGGACTGCCAGAATATATCAATAGATACCAGAACCCAAAGCACAAAACGTTTAACTTGAAGTTCAGTAGAACATTTACCTCTTCCCTTGTAGTGCAGTAAGTGCACTAGAGACTTGAGCAGTTGGTGCGGGAGAAGAGGGTCTAGAGAGGTGATTCAGACTCAATGAATTACTGATTCTCGTGCTCAAAGCTGTATCTATAAGGGGTCCAGTTGCCGGTAATGATGAAGAATTGGTTGAATTGATCGAAGATGCCCCAAATTGTGGGTGGTGGTAGTATAAGGGTGCAGGCAATGCCTGACCTTGATCATGCTCATTCCTGCCATGAAATCATTAGAATTAGATAAAAAAACATAACAGAGTGTTACCAAACTAAACCCAGCATGAAAACTAATGAATATATTAAATATTACACCTGCCTAGAACCTAACCAGGGTTCATATTACTGTCTTCAAACACTGGATATGTTGAAAACTTGAAAATCCCACCAGTTCCCGACTCTTTCTCACTCTAAACCATAAAGCTATTTTAAAGGGCAACATCACTCAGAAAACCCCGCTCTTCTCACTTTCACAAACCAAATCCCAAATGATTAAACTTTACTAATTTAAAGAATTCCTATATCCAAAAATCAAAGCAAAACCCAATGAAACTGTATCAGTCTCAATTTTTTATCATAGAAAGAACCAGAGTAAGGAGATCATCAATTACTATCGAAGTTTCAAAAACATTTATGTGTTGTTGTTAAAGTCATTCGCTTTACATTAACAATTCACAAACCTTAAAGTCATTCGCTTGACATTAACAATTCACAAACCACACAGGATCACAGCCTCTGACCATTATATAGAACCCTTAAGCAACTCAATCCAATCAAAGCTCATACGAAAAATTCATCAAGATAATGGGGTAAAAAATAACTCACATGATGGGTCTGTGCATATTCTTCGTCTGATAACTCTCAAGAGATTCAATCCTTAGAGCTATTCAGGATTCAATCAACTGATACATAGAGTCTGAGTAACCCGAATTCAGAACAACAGTTAGAAAACAAATCAAAATCTTCCATATTAAAAATTGCAAAAAGCTAAAAGTGAAGTGAGAGAAAGAGATCCATCATGTTCCATTACATCGATTCTCGAACCAAAATACCCAAAAAGCAAAAGCAACAGAGAACAGCCATGTGAAACACTAACCTCCACTTGAATTTCCAGAGACCTCTCTCTCTAACAATACTGAATAAGCTGATTCTCAAATAATCATCTCTCTTCCCTCTCTCTGAACAGCCTGATTCTCAAATGACCCTCTCTTTCTCTCTCTAAACCTGATGCTCGATTTCCTCCCTCCTCGATATTCAATGCAGGTGTCTTTCTAACCCTAATTTTGTTATATTCTTCTCTCTCTCATGGGGTACTGAATGAAATGCGATTTGAATTGGGCCTGCGTTGATGTGTTCATCTTATTTACAAACATTACCCCCAAACTATTTTGCCGAATGAACAAAGTTCCTATTTATGGGAAACATGGTCTCCGTCTTTGCCCTACCGAATCAAAAGTACACCTGAAAATGAAATAAAGCCTCACCTCGAATCTGTCTTACAACTACTTTCGGCATAGGAAATATATATGAGGCTCTAAAATCAATTTTTAATACCGATTATCAAATTTAAAATTAAAAAATAACGCGAAAAATAATCTAGATTTTACATATAGATAAATATATATTTTTTAAGGCAAAATAAACTGTCCAAATGAATTGATGCAATGTACATTTTTAAAAATTTTAATTTATCTTTTTTTTTTTTACCACTATAATTTCTAAGAAGGGACCATTTATGCCCTCATTTGGGTAAACCTATCTTTTTAATTTTTCTAATTTTCAAAAAAGATGGTCTCTAAAGAGACCATGTATTTTTTATACATGAAAGCCATAATCATTCTTGTCCCTTCATTTTTAAAATGGGTGGTTATAAGAGTGTTAGTGAATAAACATAAAGTTTTTAAAAAAAAAAATATCAAACTTCGTGACTGACCCCAAGCTATCTAATTTGACATCTAATGAGTAGGAATGATTGTTACCTCTATGTACAAAAGATAAATGGTATCTTTATAGACAATCCATTTTCAAAATCCCTTAGAAATCTTTTTTGGGGTGAATTTTTTGAAGTCTTGCACATTAGAGCAATTATAGGTCAAATCTTTTTCCATTCTTGATTTTGATATATCAACTCGGAAGCGGCCGGTTAGATTGGAACCTGACATTGACCGGTTCCCGTTTTGGCCAGTTTTGATGATCAAGCCAAGTATTATACAACAAATTCAAAAAATATATTTAAAATACTAAAAATTAAGGGGTGCAGTTTGTATAAAGCCAAGGTTCTAAATAATCAAAGTAAAACGCACCTTCAAATAGTAGTGAAATGTGGCTTCAATACTTAAATCTTTGTGATAGCCTTGAAATGTATTTTCATCTCTAATTATAGAATTTAAAGCTTTATAAATTGTGTAGATTGAGCAGATCTATGAAAACTTAGAAATCTTAAAAATTGACAGTCTAAAAATGCATTACAATATCTGAAACTTGAAATCCATGTCCATGTATCTTGAGGTAGAGATGATCAATTTGAGGATTTTAGGGAATCAAAACCACCTCTTTTAGTGAAAATTTTGAGGTGTGCGCTAATTTGATTATTTAGAACCTTGCACTTATATAAACTTCTTCCAAAAATAAGGGATTATTTGCAATGTGCTTTTTAATATTATTTATCATTTTGGTAAAGATTGGAAAGTGTTTGATCATGCATGCTTATTTTTACATTTTCCTATCTATTTTGAAATTTTCCAAAATACCCCTGGGCACAAATCGATTTTTTTTTTAAATCCATTTTTTCACTATTTTTCAACTTAATTTGGATGGACTTTGTTTACTCATACTTTAAATATAGTTTTAATATATATTTTTTTGAACATTTTTTTGACCAGTCGGGACTTTCCTGGGTAGGCCGGTTGAACGGGCCAGGTTATTGGTTACTCACAACCTGCCCTTGGCTAGTTTCCGAGCCCTGCTTGATTTTTCGAACACTGATTTGGACAATCATAAACTCTTCAAAGATGAGCACGTAGGCTATGCTCCCACTAGAGCACAATGTAGATCTGCTCCCTCGGTTAATAGATCTACTGGGAAGGATTTATCAACTTTAACTTATGAGAATGACTTAAGAATCACTAGATAATTTTAAAAGGGAAAAAAATTGAATTTTGAATTTGTTGATAAATCCCATCCTCTAAAAATTGGATGGTTATTGTTTAATCTTGAGATATTATTTTTTTAAGTTGTAAACTATGCGACCATTTACTTTTGATACAAGAAAATCACATTCATTTTTAACCATTGGATGTGACATCCAATAAATTGAGGTGTGTCACAACATTCGAGAAATTTTATTTTGGATATTGTGCCCAATCAATGCTACATCTTCAACCACCCAATTTTATATATAATATTAACAATAATTGTGACATCTTTGTATCAAAAGTAAATGGTTTCATTATATACATTTTTTTTTTTCTTAAAGGCCATAGAGAGCAATTTGCAAACCTTTTTAATAGGTAAGGTTTATATTACAAAAGTAAGGTGCATATCTCAATTTTACTTGGAGATGTATTTCCAATGTAAAAAAAATCTTATAATGGCTTAAAAATTCACATTCCTAGTTATGAACAAAATAAAAAACTGTACAAACATTACATGTATAAACATTTGAAATCTTGAAAATAGGCAGTCTTGATAACTTGTTATAAGATACATTATTTTTTAAAACTTTAAATTCTTTTTTCCTTTAGATTCATAGATCTCAAAGTCGAGATAATCAATTGGTCTAATGTCTAAACACTCTCTTCTAGCGATTTTTTTAGATGCCCGTTACTTTAATAATATAAGGTAGATGCCTTATATAACTATTTCATTGATATTAGTCATTGAGGAGATTACCTCCCCAAAACTTGAGATCCTAAAATAACTTCTAAGTTGGGTTTTGCCTGAAAGAGTAAATGGACATCATAGTCCCACATAAGTATGAAATCTTTGGGGTTGAAAGAAATATTTTATGCTATAATTTTTTTGAACGTGGAAAAATATTTAGGCACATCATCTAATTGTCAAATTTTGTCGAATGGTATTTTGTTTTCTAACTTGCAATTGACCCAAACACAATTCGGAAATTGCCATTTCCTATCAAGGGTGCTTGATTTTTTTAATCTAAATTGTAGTTTCTTAATATCAATGCTTTAGGTGGTGGTAGTAGTGGTGGCGTGATGGTGATGGTAATAATAGTGTTGGTGGTAGTGGTGCAATGATGGTGGCAATGGCATCAGCTGAGCAATAGTGATGGTGGTGGTGACAATGGTTCTAGTGGTAGTGATGGGAACATGGTGGTGATGGTGATGGAGTGGTGGCAGGGGCGGCGGCGGTAATAATGGCACTAAGTAGGGCAAAAGATAAGAAAAACTCATATAAGAAGTTTGCACATAGGTTGCAGTTTCTGAGCCCAAATAAATTTTATTTTTGGACCCAACCAACCAAAAATCAAACACACACCCTTAATATTATAATGTGTGAAATTGATTGCAATTTGATTAGGAAATCAAAGGGTGCCTACAAAGTTCACATCCCGGAGAACCTAAGCGACCCAATCAAAAAATGTGTACTTGTCAAGGTATGTATATATAACTTTTCAATGTACCTTTTCTTTAGAAGATGATCAATAAAATTTCAAAACACGATTGAGATTTTTTTTTTGGGTTTTCTAAAAAATCTTTAAGATTCAGAGATTTATTTTTACAAATATCCTTCAGATGCATTTTAACTATAAGTACTTACTCACCAAATAGTTGCCGATAAGGCTCAGATGATGATGACGGCTTATCCATCAAATTTATTTATTAGGTAATTCAATGGGGAAGATAACCCCCATGAGCTTTTCATATAAATTAGGGAATTAGCTTTTTTGAGGGTGTTAATGGGTGGTGTCAACAGGTTAAAAACCACAATGTGATAATCAGGTATGGGAGCTACCACTATGATCTAGCCCCTTTTCTATATACTAAGTACGTTTACTTTGTGTTATAGACATAGAGCAAGGTTTGTGGGTCTAAAAGAAAGAAATATACATAGAGAGAGAGAGACCGATTTGTGGATTAGGAGAGAGTGGAGAGTGAGGCTTATGGGTTAGAGAGAGAGAACTAGGTTAGTAGGTTAAAGAAAGAGATAGAGTTACGCTTGTGGTTTAGGGGGGAGAGTCTGTGTTGGAAGAGAGAGAGAGCTTTATAGTTTGGGAGAGAGAGCTAAGTTAGATTGGAGAGAACGAAAGTAACATAAAACGTAAAAGAAAGAGGAGCAAAACATAGCACCATATTATAAATTATTTATTTTTTATAAAATGATGTGACAGTTAGTCTGCATCATGGGTTACATACATCTTTGTCTTAGTTGTAGACGACTTAACTAAGAACCTACAAGATGAGGTACGGTGGTACATCTTATTTGCATACGGTATAGTTTTAATCAATAAGACCCGAAACGGTGTTAATACAAAGTTGGAACTTTGGATGGATGCTCTAGATTTTACATGTTTTAAAATTAGCCGAACTAATGTAGAGTATATGGAATGCATATTTAGTAAAAATTAGAGTCGAGACAAGGAAGTAGTTAAGATTGACGACCAATAAATACCAAAAAGAGCGCAGTTTCGATATATTGGGTCTATAATCAAAGAAAATTGAAAGATTGCAAAAATGCTGCACATAGAATTAGAGCGGGGTGAAGTCTAGATGTGCAACTGGAATTTTATGTGATCGCCGCATACCAATGAAACTATATAGCAAGTTTTATAGGACAACTGTGAAACCAACTTTGCCCTATAAGGTGGAATATTGGGTTGCGTTTGATATATGGAGGTCACAATCATCATTGACTATTAGATTTAAAATTTGGCGATTGAGGATGTATTATTGTTTATGCACATACTCCAAAACAAAAATTCTCAAATGTTGTGTCATACTTTCATCTATTAGATTTTACATCCAATGGCTAAAATTGATTGTGACATCCTTGTACCAAAAACAAATGGTCTCATAGTATGTAATCCCTAAACAATGTACCCATAGAATGAGTGTAGCAGAAATTAGGATGTTAAGATGAATAAGTGGCAAGACAATAAGAGATATTATTTGAAATGAATATATCCGGAAAATTTTAGGTTTTGCACCAAGAGCCGATAAAATGAGGAAAGTAGACTTAGGTGGGGTTGTCATGTGTGTCGCAGATCTAGTACAACACTTTTAGTAAGTGCGAGTCAGTTCAAGTGGAAGGCTAAAAAAAGGTAAGGGATAGACCAAAACCGACATGGTTGAAAGTAGTGAGAAGATATATATGGAGTTATGGCCTCAATCAAGATAGTAGCTGACTCCAATTAGTTGAGAAAAAGCTTTGACAATGATGATGATAAAAATGAATATTTTCAAATATAATACCTATTATTTTCCATAGCTCGTATGAAAAATACTTTCCATTTTAGTTATTAAGT